GTACACAAAACTCTGGGATTTATAAAGGATTATTCGTGCAATGCAGGCTTTGATAAACGCGGATAAATGCGATTGAAACTGATGACGTTATGAACATAATTTTTAGTTGAACAGAGGTTTCCTCGCTACCGAATTTCTAAGGCAAAAGGAGTATAACTGTTTTCAACTGGAGATGAGCCCACGCTCAGATATAAACTGCAAACTGCTACAAAACTCCGAGGTGATGAGGACCTAACGTCTGCAGGGAAAATCCTCCATCAGGAAGAGAGCAAAATAAATCTTCATGACCGACGGTCGGCAGGCATGTTGCTGCCAAGATGATCACTGTAATCGTAAAGTGGACATGTTACACCTGTAAATCTACATTCTACGGCTTCTTCTAACTGCATTCGGTAGCATTTCTTAGAACACACGAATAGCGAAAATTCTCGCTGCCTGGTGCCAAATACATGTCGAACGTTATTCACCAATAAGCATAGGTGAATTTAATGAGGCCCTCTCGACAAGACTTCGTTAATTCATGGCCTCTGTTACGTTATTCTAACATGGGCTGAGAAGGTTTATTTTGTGTGCAAGATATTTTAGTCATTTTGATCTTATGTTTTTGTAATAAGTAAATAATTCGTAAATAAGCTTTATCGAAAGGAAAACCATAAAATAGTTTTTCAATGTCGGTATCCTTTCTGGGCAATGGCACGTTCTGGTTTCTTATGTTTGACAGCAAAAATGAATCTTACGAAACAATGATTTTAAGAAATACTGAGTTACAGAATCAGTTCGTGTCAGACTAAAAAGTGATATTAGCGATTCAAGGTCTGAGACATATTTTATATTCACGAAATTTTGAGTGTCATTATATTAACAAAAACTGTTATTGACCATATTTAAAAGTTTTCTTTTTCTTGCTCTTTAAATTAGCTAAAACTACCAAGACAGAATATGTGCACTGAATATTTAGTATAGATACACGAAGGCGAAACTTTATATTGCAATGACATTATTTTACAAAGATATAGCCCAATAATGCAGGGCGCCATATTACGTGGAGAGAATGTCGATCCATTCTCAGAACTTTATTCACCCGCCGTGTTAGATTTCAAAAGCAAAATGTATTGAAATGCACGAAGGTAGTGTGATCTCAACGTCCTGACGTTAATAACAAGGCACGGAAATCAACAACAGCTTTAAAACTTATTATAAAGATGTGCAAATAAACAAACACACTCCCACGTGGTTTTATAAACGTGCGATTACTTTGAGAAAAATAATATAAAATGAAACATTGATGGAAACGGCATGAGTCTTGATCATTGAAACCTCACTTGAAATGAGCAGGCCATAAATCAAGCTGATGGGAATTCAAATATAACAGCGCATCCACTAGGTTACTTATATGTTTACACCACACGAGATACGGATTGGTCTGCAGAAAGCCTCTGAATTCGAGGGTCAGTAAACAAACCACGAAGAAAGCAGCACAACCGACGAGAGCACTAAGAGCTAAGCTTTTACACATTCCTTTGTCATGAAACCCAGAGCTCTGAAGGTGAAGACAGATGTTGAACGTTTTAGAAACCCAAGGATAAGATAAATTATAAGTACTCTTAAACAAATAAAACTAAAAACAAACAAAAAATCACCGAGGAATGTTAATCAATTACACACCACATTAGGCTCAGAGTAAAATGTTTGGACGAAATTACAACTACCCAACTGGTGTAAGTGTCATAATTAACTTACTAGATTCAATAAAATCTTCTCGGGCAATCAGCCGCGTTAACTGGTTACCGTAGTAAACAGACGTTTCGGGAACAAACTCTGTCCCAATCTTCAGGGTTCTGATGTGACTGGCGACTTCCGAGGATCCAGATTTTATTGACAGTAATGGCCGCGAAAGTCTAAAATCCAATAACTTACTAAAATGTTGAAGAATACGCGACGAACTAAAAGCTACGATAACGGTTCCATAAACTGTTCCCACATCTGAGTCCTTTTCAGAGCGGACTTGGCTGCTCCTAAGAAGAATCGATAAATTAATGAGAAAAGAGCTGTAATATCTAGCTGTATCCGAAAGAAGGACTGAAAATATTGTGGACTGATGAAATGCATGCACATAGCGTCAAGAAAAGAGGCGTGGCTCAGTGGGTGGGTGAAGAACTATATAAGATGGACAGGGAGGTATTTTTGGTGCACTGTATGTGAATTTGTTGTGTCAAGTGCAGCGTGAGGGATCTAGCTCCTCCAGCAGACTTTCAGGATGGTATGTACCAGGAACTCGCCGAACAACGCACTAAGAATTTCCGCTACCACTAAGCATTTTCTGGTTTTCTATAGATTTATTTTAAAGACAAATCATACAATGACAAAATACAATTGCTATATAGGAGCAGATGTGTATTCTAGGTAAAATAATGGAACACGTTAGAACAAACGTTAGTAACCAGATCAATACACCGACAAACGCTTAGTTTAACTATTCTAGAGGAAGAAGGCGTCTGTTTTACAAGTTAATAATCGCCCATGTGGTCAAGAAATCCCTCTCCCCCATTTAAGATATCCGAAAGTCTACTGCCGTGTTCAGATGATCCCGCCTGAGGCACCTGAATCCACCACAGACCCTTGGCTGCATGGAGGGGAGGTTATATTCGTCTGGCTTATCTTCAGAAACTGCTGAACATAGTTTGATTAAATTTTGTAATTGAGATATACATTAAAAGTTTCAGAAAAAAATGAATTTTTATCTGTGATATGTTCTACTACACGCGAAACTCCAGTCAAACTGTGTAGACCTTCTCAGTCAAACGATTTATCGCCAACAGACTGGGACATACTTCTGCAAGCCTTCAGTTCAGGCGTTTCTACATGCGTTTGTGACAATGGATGTGTCGAACATTACCCATTGTAATCCTCCGGTGTGTTTCAGATCGACGGAAATTTCTGACTTTCATCAAGTTTTAATCATTTATAATTCACAATTATAGAATTATAGTTATAGAGTGCGGGTGAAATACTTGAGCCAAAACTACCTTAAACCTAAAGATGGAGGCGACACATTCCTCCGAAACATTTGCAGCAACCACAAGACCATAGAATATCACAATTGACATTTTCGAAGCCGCAGATACCAAATAAGAAACCTAATTTGTATAACTGGAACAGGAAAAGAGGACTATCACGTTCTGTGGATAAATTAATCTGACTTGATAAACGCATTGAGTGCTGAACAACATTGCACTAATGATTTCAGAAATGACAGATACACGTATCAGCTCTGGTGCAGATATATGGCATCACTTGGCAGAATGGGATTAAGGCTTAATTGGAAATAGGATTTATATAGTGTTTTAATGCTAATGCTCATAGAGGTGCTTCATATATAAATAGTCTGATTTATACAGACTGCAATGAAGCTTATTTTGAAATAGGAAGCTCTGTATAACACACACGACATGATGGTTGTATATACAATTTAATTAAGTGCATAAAATATTTAGTGGCTTGAAAAATTATGCATAGTCCTAGTTGCGATATTAAAAATGTATTCTCCACCCCAAGCTGTTATAATCACATATGAAGCTAAATCGGAAAAAACAAAACAAAAAAACAAAAAACAAAAAACAAAAAAACAACAACAACAAAACCCTATGTTTAGACAAAAAAATTTCGACGCCGATTTTAGCACTAGAATTGTAAAGCACATGTTTCTTAAGACTCGGGAATTTTCGATTTAAAAATCATTGGTAAAAGTACTTTCCATCTGTGGCATATAAAGAGGACATGAACATGATATATTTCGCTTCTCAACAGTGAGAATAACACAAAATGTTGACACACATGTCTGTGAATTTATCTCTCCACATAAGAACAATAAGCATGAATACAATATCAACATTTACATGCACCGTTTTAGCGTCTTGAAATCTACGCGCTTACGTTCAAGTGCCTACAGTTTGTTTCCTCGACTTTGTACGCTTCGTATAAAGAAATTTTCATTAACTGAAGTATCATTCATTCTTTCTTGTTCGAACACTTTAAAGTCCAATGAAAGTTGAAATCTCATACGCAAATGGCAAGTTAAAGTTCAAAGGATAGAATTTACTTATCGATTCCTTTGGATGAAACATTAATTGAATTTCGAGTGGCGGATATGAGATGACGCAAGTAAATGGTTTTATACAAAAATAAAGAGAAGGTAGAGAAAGACGTAGGCAAAAACAAAGGTAACAGCAACTCAAACTTCTATGACAGAGGCGTCTGAAAAGGCATACATAGCTTCACCGCAACTTCTTAGCTATGTTGCACCGTGTTTCAAACGTAAGTGGCCTAAAGGAGCCTGGTCTCATCTTATATGACACTATAATAAGTCACTTGAAAGGCAAATGGACAGATGGGAGAGTCACAATATGGTTCATCTCACAGAAAACGTGTTTGATTTTACGGATTTATTGACGAGGCTGAGAAGAATTCTGATCCTCCGTCGTAGCGCTGATGAACCTCAGCTTCAATGGCGCTAATTGGGTAAATTATATGTGAGGTCATAAGTGACGTTTTGGGTAAATATTTTGTTCTCGGGGTATGATTTGTTTTCCTTCAAAACGAAGAGCACGATAGATATATTTCCCAAAGAACTGCATTGCCTCAATAAAACTAAGAATATTAGGAATTTTACAGCAGAAGGATAATACCAAATTTTAATCGTCTATATCACAAGCAAAATATCCCAAATCAGTTAATTAAAAGTGTAGATGGAGTTAAGCGTCCTTGACTTTCAGTTTTATTACCAGGCATTTAATTCAAATATAAATAAGTATAAAAATATATTATTTAAGCATTCCTATACATTTCATAACACGCTGCCAGAAGTAGTTTTCCAGCATTCCGGAAACTTCTGCTACGTCTCGTGTTACAGGTTAGACCCACGATAAACGCAAAGATTACGCTGGCCGACATAGAAAAGAACTGGTAATCATAAATAATTATTTTCTTCTTTGTTTTCACAGACCGAAACCTTGGATGAAGAACAAATTACAAGTAAGTAACTCATTACTTTTATTAAATTCGATTCTTTACAAAATTCTTTGTATTCAAAGATCAGGCTCGGCAGTTCTGACAGGGTGGTTCCTCCGTAATAGTCGATGTTAGGTTTCACTTTTAGGCTGCGCTATTTCGGGATCATGATTTGATTCTCAAAAATAAAAGGATATTTATCCTTGCTACGTGCCAAGAATGGCTCTGGAGACCGAACAACCCCCTATTTTAAAATCTGAGTTATTTATTTGGGGGGGGGATATGACTGCAGCCGCCTAGTTATCAGTTTACGAATGTGTGGATCTTTCCCTCCATATGGCATGGTGCTTTGTCACTAATGTATGCGAGGATTCCAGACCAATTCAGCGAAATATTACAACCTTCGTTGTAGGAAAATCTTTTAATGAAAGAGACACATCTTTAAGAATAAGAGGTACATGTGCAGGTAATTTATGTAGGCTTTCTTGTATCTGTTTGTAGACATAGCATACAACTGAATATACTGGGAAATGTGAGTATTTATTTGTGTTCAGTGAACTAAATCCAGGAATTATTTAAAAATTTTCGGGCTTGGCAGTTTCAAATGATGTTAATACATGTTGAATTTTTTTAAATATTAGGTTATAAACAATCGAACTTTAACTAAAGTTAACAGTAATCTGAAAGTGTCTAACTCTCCCATTCTCTAGTTGTATTATTACCACTATTATTTTTTCTTCACATTTTTCAAAATACAATTACACGTGTTATTACTTGTTCAGGATTCCTTAATATACTAACCTTTAATTTACTGAATGTAGCGTTCTAGAAAATTACCTCAAAGTACCCTGGATTCCCAGGGTTTCGTGTGCAGTCTGCACTCTACTGTGGAACGCCGACACAAGTTGTTCCAACAAAAACACACAACATTGTTCAAACACAGCCATCTCAACTGACACCATACTTCCACACAGTTATTTCTTCCACGTTCTTAGGATCAAAATAGCTTTACAAGATTAAACAATTTCAACACCCAACGCACTTCCAGTCGTCTAGCATTAAAGTATAGATCCGGCTCAGAGACACGTCGTATGCAAATTCTCTGGCGGTGCATGTCCACTGGGAATACGTCAACGATATTCTCCAATTATGTAATTTCTGTAACCGATTTAAATAAATGGTGCACAATTAATATAATAATAATAATAATAATAATACGCTTAATACTTGTGATGAGCAGATAATCTCAAGCGGAAAACTGCCAGAAATATATTCGCGAGATATTTAGTTGAAATCGAGACCGGGTTAACGTTTATCATGACATCTAGTTGTTTTACTATTATTTTATGAATTCCAAAACGGTTCAAATACGAGCAGAAAACAGTGTTTACCTACCACGTCTGCAGGTCACCGTAGATAATGATCCAATCATCGTATTTCACACGCCTTAACTACCTTAAAATAAGCGAAATCACTGCGACGATACTAAAACATTTTTAACTTCATCGTGTTTTACCCAAATTGTAAATATAAACGTTCAATCCTGTGATTACACGTAGTTCTTATAATTTTATCAAAACAAATCGAGGAATAGCCTAATAGTCATCTTAAATTAATTGTCATTGTCGACAGCGTATCGTATATTTTCATTTTGTACTTACTGGTTTATCCCAGATGTTTAATACAGCGTTAAAAATACTTAAATTCTACACATGCACAATAATGAAAGAGTTTATGGATTTCCACGAATACAAACTTGCTGCAATAAACACTGTTATGAGATTTGTATGTCTACTTCGCAAAATGACATACAATGTACCTCATACGAAATAGGTAACTTAATGCCCGTCTCTGTGATGAAGCAAATACAGAAAAAGCTTAGCTGATTGGAGTTTCGTGTTACTCAAGATCCTAATGGCTTAATACTTACATGATTGATTTCTAAAACAAATAGTAGCATCTTATTAGTAATTCGACCTATATTTATACGGTCTATATACATAATAACCACAAGACTATAAGTTTAAATCATTAAAAGAGTCAAAATATTATGGCTAGTTAGATTTAACAGAGTCCTACCTGAATAATTTTGAGTACGGTACAATACAGTTATTATGTTAAATTCACAAATATTGTGTATTATGCTTGATATTATAATGAAACAGCAATGAATGATATATTATAAACAACAAAAGAATATTTTGAATTTTTACATCTCAGATTTGTTACTTGGAAATTCCACGTAAGATTTTGGACGAACATGAACAACCAGAATGAGGTATAAATAATATCGAAGTCAAAATTAGCAGGTACTCTTCTCAACTTCACTCTTTTGGGAATTCTGATGATTAAAGTAACCGGTAGAATAAATATTACATTTGAGATGTTTCTTGTTATTTATGACTAGCTTGTATTAGCCTCCTGACATTTTTAATTGATTTCTTAATAGCACATAATGCGGGCATTTCAATTCTTTGAACTCTGAGAGAAAATTAGATTTACTCGCAGATTTGTTACGGCTGTTATAATTTGTTTGTTGGAATACTCAAAAATGTAATACTTTTAAAAGATTTTTTAGCTAACCCTTTTTTATCTACATACGATCATCATAGTAATCGACTTTACTATAATTCCGTTACATATTTATCAGTGAGTCAAAACACTCAACAGTGTATAAATATTAGTGAAAGATTAATGGTAATTCTCTTGTTCTGAATCATTACTGTTTTCAATGCAGTCCCTGCTGTGTCCACAGTAAAAAAAAATGCGTGGATTGCTTAACGAGACGAGCATGTCACATCATCGTACCACATGAACAGAGCATTCAGAGTCCGAACATCACTCTACTGATGATCATGTGATCATTGTAATCAGTCCGTTATATGCTGTTAGTAAGCTGCGGTGATAGTGGAGGAGGGCAGGAGTGTGCCAGTTGTATGTGGAAATAGTTTCCGGAGCTTGTTCAAAGCCCTTCCATGCTTCTATTACATCGAAATTACCATATTTCAATACGTCGATACTAACCAGATTCTGTAACTGAAATGTTGAAATGCGGTAACCACGTAGGTAATAAATTTGCAGCAAGGCACAAATCCCTTGCCTCGCTGAATGATAGCTTTCCATCATTTCAATCCCAAAATCAATCACTGCACTTCCACAGTCCGTCCTCGTTGTTGGAGATGTTGAGTTTGAATTTGTAATGACAGGTTGTGACAGTTTGCTTGAAAGGTCCGGTGCGATCTGGTGTCTGTTTAAATTGGAAGGGATATGTGAAAATAGGTAGAGCCAACACTTTTACAGCTACCTGCAGATGGAACTACGGAAGACATAAGCCTTCATCCAAAGTCGCAGATTTGATGTTAAGATTAAACGTTTTCAGATGAACAGAAGGTCATTCAAGTTCACAAAATTGACAAAGGTTAATGGTATTAACTAAACGCATACGACAGTCCTCCACTTAAATGCATTTAATTAAGTCATCAAGTATTACTGAAGGTAGAGTGACCTCTGTTCACCACGTCTTGATGGCGGCATTACCGGTAACTCAGAACAGCAAGTTCCCGAACCGACATTCGATATTGATACCTTCCGAATACTTATCAGAAGTGTTACCGCCTTTGATAATCTATTCGGTGACCAAAAGTGAATATCTGTAATTTTCTGGAGATTTTAAAAAAATTACATTTTAACCAAGAAATGAAGAACAAAGATAACAAAATAAAGACATTAAAAATAAATATTATTTAATTTCCTTCCCTATTAATAGATAATCGAAATCAGTTTATATCTGGAAGCACTAAATTCTAAATCGAAAACAATGTATAGCGTTCTCTGACAACCATATATAATTCTATACTTACACCCCATCCATATTAGATGGACAGACATAAAAATATATTGTCACGCATGGTTATAACGGGAGCAATGACTTCCTTTCGAATGGATGGAAGGCAGCCTTCTTTTAAGAATATTTCTGTCATAATTTAAATCTTAGATTCTCACGGCGATGAGTACGAAGATGGTAGTTTCTTCTAGGTTGTAGCACCGCGCAGTCTGATAGAAGTTTACCAAAGTTTGAGAGGTCCTTGCTGCCTCCATGTTCAGGGCGTTCATCGCCGACCGTTAAGTTTATTTCAGTAATGCCGGGATTGTAAGTAACTTCATAATATGTACTCAACGGCTGTCCAAATACATAATCCTCTAGTTAATTAGCTGCTGTTATTCTTTTAATTAGTTCGTCCACGTTCGTGATTGCGGGTAAAATTTCGTAACATGACGGTTTGTTACAGTGTGAAAATGGGCTGGCCCCATGCCAAACCTCAAAGATAGAGGACCAAAATTTGCCAGCTACTTAACTTCCATCTTTTTTTTCACGTATCCCTCCTAAATCTTTCAGTCCTTCCATTCAGAACAAAATCAAGCAAGCATAAGAAATCAACAGTTCGAGTGACATTTTCGTTACAAAACGCAATAGGTCCATTCTGACTCACTGAGCTTGTCAAAAAATTACTTGTTTCATGGAAACCAATGGCTCATTAAAATATCTTTGCATTATAATATTATTCTTCCACATACGCTGGTTTTTAAATTCAGGTCTTCCTATCAATCTATAATGTCTATTTATAATCTTTACCATGCGTTACATTTCGTTTTCATCTTATTCTCTTGGATTTCAACATCCTAATGACACTTATTTTGTCATAACTACAAAATACGAAACCCCACATTAGCGCAACACTTTCCATACCCCTGGAACGTCCTCTGTCTTAGGCATAAACAAACATTTTCCTCAACATTCTGTCCTCAGACACTCTCAATAATGTTCTTTCGTATGGTAAGCACACAAGAAGGGAAGATAATAAATTCTGAAGTGAGTGGTAGCAAGAATTACCTAAATTTAAACTGATTTTAATAACTATACACACAACCATTACATACGTCAGCACTGTGTATACTTTTCTGGGACAACCTGTATATATGGAAGGAACATAACACACAAAAAAGTGTTAAACTCTGTGTTGTCTCACAGTATCTCGCACTTGTAGAACGAATTTAACTCAAAATAAAAATTAAAATAAATATTCTAGTACTAATCTGCAAGGAAAGTTGCAAACGAAATCCCTTTTTTTTTCTTAGTCGTATTAAACTTGGCTCATCTCCGAGTTACCCAGTAACTATGCAACACTGTAATACGTGTTTTTATTTCAGTGTTGAGGCGTGCGTTTTCCATGTTCGACTCGAGTAAGGCAGGAAAGATTGAAAATGAGAAAGTTCGTACAATCCTCAACACTCTGGGTCTCGCTATCAATGACCTGGAGCTGGAGGCGCTGCTGGAAGAGGAGGACAAGGAAGGTAACCAGCACAGCTGTGCTCCAGGCAATTTTCATCAAGCGCATGATACTACCGGATGTTCACAAATTAGCTGATGATTGAAAGGACCTGTAATTATTCGTTTACAACATACGACAAATTATGTGTAAACATCGTGACCACACTTGGAAAAAGAAAACAGAACACGAAATGTTGTGGAACTGCTTGTACTACACACGTTTTTCGTGTCACGCATAAAAAATAATTCTAAACCCTTCAAGAAGTACGCGAATTTATTAACATTCAGTATTATTCGAAAAAAAAACATTTAATCGAATAGGAAATGTGGACAAATATTTTCTCACTTCATTAAGTTCTATTAATTTACTTCGTTTTAAAGGAAAACTTAACAACTTTGTGCATACTCTTAGGTGATATTAAAGTTCATCAATCAGTAAAGCAAAGTGCCTTCATCCTTATTGTCCGACACAGTACCTAATTACCTGCATGTGTGGGATATAAATTCTTAACTCTTTACAGGTCAGTGGTAACAGTTCATAAATCTGCATGTCGCTCAAAGAGTCTATTTGAGTTTAATATTTTGTTATCAGAATAAATAGTATTTTCTTGAAGTATTTTAACATACGTATATAACGACAATGCAGTGTGTTTTCTTAGAGGCAAGAACCGTGTGTCATAAAAGTGAAAAGACACTTTGTTCTTTAAAGTGGAGAAGAAAAATAAGCATGAAAGAAATTGCATCTGCAATGAAAATAAGTAATGCGAAAAAGCAGAGCAAGAATGGCTTAAAGACATCTAAAATATTCTATTCTGATGAGTTAGGAAACGTATGATGACTGTTGAAGTACATTTAACATCACAGCGATTACGCAAAATATGGGCTACGTGACATTGCTGTCTGGTTGTCTTGTTAAAACTTAGACCTATAAAAAAGCCGTGTTTAATTTTTGCTTAGGTTACTTAGTACGTGAGACTCGAAAAAGAGTTTAATGATTTAGTCAGTGAGCCCTCGTTCATTGAGATCTCTCTAGTGGCCGAGAAACACTGCGAGAATTTAAGGTTTCGAGACCTGGAAAAAACCATCAAGGTCGACTTGGGAGACGTTAAGGGATAAATTCCGTATAAGCACGAAAAGACGCAATAACAGACTTTACACATTTAATAAGTACAAAGAGCCTGTAAGGCTGTTCACACAATTGGTAATACAAATGTGACAGATGCCCTGAATTCTAAAATAATGCCATTACCGTGTTACTCTGACTGTGCCCATCACTATTCGTACACACACTGTTAGCATGTGGACAGAATATAATTTGTGTCCGGATTAATATTAATATGACTAAGATCTGCGTTCAGTTCTAAGCCAGGATTATATAGAATGCCAATTAATTATTTAACCATGATCTAAATGTAGAAAATTCGAATGAAGACATTTCAAGTCTAACTCTGTTATACCTAAGTTAATCTAATTCCTTCAACAGTTAAATCCGACTGTACTAATTTGCTATCTACATAGTGTACCTAGACGCCAATACTCGAGCAAGTGTATAAATGTGTTTCACTAGTGTTGAATGACGTCGTTTATGTAAATGAGGAGTATTGGCTTCTCGATAGGGAATATTCTGTACGAATTTAATTAATTGATAGAAATTTATTTTTAAACGATCCTAGAAGAGTGTGAATTATGTCATGCGATGTCATTAAGCGTCTGTGTACCTGTAAAATTAACAGGAACACTTATTTTAGTGACTGATATAATTTTGGGGTAACAGTGTCTGTAATGCACTATCAAGGAAATTCCTAGACAATTTGATTCTGTAATAACTCGGACAATGGAAGATTTTCTTTTCTCACAAGCGTAGGGTTTATTCAGCGCAAGTATAAAAGCTCGTGAAAACCTCCATTTCATTGAGATGCTGTCAAGAGAACTCATTACCGAGCTTCAAGCAAGCAAAGAAGATGGAAGAATGAGATTGTTGCTATTTTTGTGCAGGAAAAGTTGATTGCTTTCTTGCTATTTTGGACGCTTTCTAAGAAGGGAATAAAACTGACATTTTCATTACTAAAGGAAATGACTGATAAAGCAGGGGAGATAGTTAATTAAACTAGTAACAAAATATGGTAATAAATTGCATTCATTCTGTTAAAAAACACGTCATATCCAGCTGTGTGACGTCACCGACAGGAGACAAAGGATACACGTGGAAAACCATTTATGCTTGAGAGTATATTTTGCGAGTCAATTCATGAGTATAGTGCAACAAAACTTCATAGCCTAGTCTTGTGAACTTTTTTTGCACTGAATGTATTCATTGAGCTATGTAACAACGTAGTAAAACAGCTAACATGAAATCTATCATATATTCATCGAAAACGCTACCTGGTTATCCCAGGCAGAGTTCCAGAGGGACTCAACAAAATAATAATGTGGAATTAGTAACCAATAAATATCTTGTCAGAAGAATTATAGTACACAAAAATTAACATATGTATATAAATATGACATGTTTGATATGATGTTACACTACCCAATAAATATTACTATATGAAGAAATTACTTAATATATTACAATTGAAATATATGAAACTTAGTTAGATTATCAATTGTTTTATCGTTGCCTGAAATGTCTTATTGATAATAGTCGATGTTAAGAATAATCTAATTCACAAGTGCTGCTACTATTAGACAGATTTTAAAATAAATCCATTATACCTATTACATTTTATATAGGCTACAGAGTACTGACAAAATAATAACAATTCAGTATTCATGGCATAGGCACTGTCCTAGAATTAGCCATCATGAACATGAAAATATGAAAAACTTCGGTCAGGATAGACGGCGTCAGATATCAAACTCCGACCTTCACGACCACAAAGCAGAGATGTTTACATGCGGTCAAGTATGGTATTGTATGCGGCCAAACTTTGGACATTTTCTCCAAAACTGTCTAACAAACCGAGCAACAGACTCCATGGAGAAGAGTCCTTCTCGAGAAGCTGTCAGCTAGTCAAGAAATGCATTGATTTTTTTTATAGAATCTGAAAGTTGATTAACGTGTTCACAAGAATCAGCAATAGGACCACATCCGGAGTTACATGAATTAAATCTGCCACCCCAACCTATTTCGTTGAGATATTATATTTTGTTTCGAAATTTACTAAAATTCGATTACCGAAAGCATAATGCCAAGGCATTACATGAACAAACACTTATATTTTTTATCTCCAGATTCACAATAGTAACCTTATTTATTTTGTAAGACCCTAACAAAATGTACAGTCGTTTAGGATTAATGATGCTGTCAATAAATGATCTGTGAGAAAAATTACTGTATTAGTGAGAACAAACCAGAGCAAAATTTCTTTATTGTAGTTATCTACTTCAAGGCAACTAATAGTGTAAAATGTTAGAATCATATTCAGATAAATGGAACGCTTTTCGTTCGAGGTACCTACAAGTCTAGACTGAATAAAGTAATATATCGTGTTCTCCTTGGAACTGAGCAGACAAAAAATTATGTTCCGCCATTGCCCTACGTACAGAACTTATTGGACTCCTATTACAAAAGTAGGCCAGCATCTCTTCAATTTAATACGCCATTATTAAAGTTTCCTGAAGTTCAGACTCAAAGGAACGTGGGATTAGAAGATGAAGTGATCTTCTGCAGAGTCCATAGCAAAGGACTGATTAATTAATGTCTGCGACACAAAACGACTTGCATTTTCAAGATATTATAATTCTCAATGTAACTATATTTATCAATTGTAGGATAGTGGTAACTATGTGCACCACCTCTTTCAGCATTAAATAACTTCGCACGTTAGCATCGTAACCTGGTTCGTTTATGATTTTCATTGGGTCTGAGAACAAAGAGCAAAAGTTTTCCTATGCAAAAATAAGATACTTATTTTGTAATGGTGATGCAGTATATTTTCTAGGATGTATATACAAATTAGTAAACATTATGTATATGAGACGTGCCCATAGCATTAGCTCTTCGAAGAAAAAAGTTTACTTTAAGACGACCTCTGAATAATGTTTCTGCAAATACACCAGAAAAACATACTAATGGTATTATAAATCAATATTAGTAATACTTTCTAGTGAGAAAGGTTATAAAATCTATGACCTATACGCAGAATAATATTAGTTCTGAAGTCTGCTAATAAGTTTCAGTTGAACATAAAATCTAACTTACCTCATGCTTTAATTTCACAAGATCTATTCTGCTATTACCCTACAGGGTAGGTGGGAAGTAAGTAGGCATTGAGAAATGGTTATAACCTATATATTTCCAATGTATAGCGATTATTTAATGCCTACTTACTTCCCATTCATCCTGTATATTCCAAGTTTGAGCCTGCCTTAATCTCTCTGAATAAAATTCGATCCCCCCAAATCCTCTTAATTATCGCTTTAAGATAATATTTTAAATAAAAACTGTAGGACATAAATTAGTCTGCATTATTTTTATTTGAACATATAGCTACAAAATATGAAAGCTGAATCGCACAAAAATAAAAATATAAATTAAAGAGAATCAAACAAAAGAACGCGATGGAAATTTATGGAATATTTTGGCCTCGAAACGGTAATAGCAGAGCTGCTCCCTAACACATAAAATTAAATTAAAGGGAAGGACATAAAAATGTGAGACTTTACTAATATTAATTTTATTATTTCTCGTACCCTCTATATAGCGTGAAATCTAACAGAATATAAAAGGCAGTCTGTCTTCTAATTCCCTCGTAATACCTACTTGTATGTTTGCAAACGTTAGAACCATAAATTATTACATAAATAAATACAGTAATAAAGCACTGACAGTCAGAAAGAGGCAAAATATTGAAAGAGATTCTGTTTTGGGCTTATTTATTAGCGTTTTGTAATAATACGAAATAAGATATTAATTAGCCTATGTTTCTGTACTTCTAGAAATCGGAAAGTTGAATTTTGACTCATTTTGCCGCGTGGCAATGCATTTTTTGGACGACGAGGACAATGAGGTAATGCAGAAAGAGCTGAAGGAGGCTTTTCGGCTTTATGACAAAGATGGTGAGTGTACATTTGGTGGCTTCCCTGGCCCCATAATCAGTTTGCAAGAAGGAACATTCATGTCGTATTTATCTCATACATATACATACACCTTATATCATACTGTCAATTCGTATCAGTACTATAATGAAGATTCCCGATAGTTTTGAATTTTAAATCATTTTGAAACTTGGGGCTTTCACTCTAAAGGAAGTATACAGATTGACGGTGGTTGAGAACAGGGAGTTCAGTAGAATATTTAAACCTATGGAACGAAGGATGGAGACAATTACATAACTAGAAGCTTCGTAATTTGTAATTTCACCAAATGCAATTAGGATGGTAAAATCAAGAACGAGGATAGACTGAGGATACGTAACAAGAAGGGGGATTGAGAAAAACACAAAAAGTTTAGCCGGGAAACCTGGAGGAAACAGTTCACTTTGAAGAACTAGAAGCTGATGGAAGGATATTGAGTGGAAAATGAGTGTATGGAATAAATTCTGCTGGCTTAGAAATAAATGTCCTTGCGGACACACGAATGAATCTTTGGAATCTATAACAGACTTGGAATTTATTGACAGGCTGAACAACTATAAACTTCTCAAAAAAAATGCACCATAAAGTTAGTATTTAACCATTGTTTTCTATTAATATTAACGGGAAGTGATCTGTTGCCATGTTAACTGCTCTTTTATTTTCTCCAAATTCTCGCCCACTTTGTATTATTACTGGGAATACACTGAAAAGGGGTGAGGGATACCTTCAGGAGAGTCCGGAGTGAAATCGAATGTTAGAAATACTGAAAAGAGGGACTGGCCAATGGATTTTAATTGTGACAAAACATTCCAGGGTGAATAATCCTTGAAATAGGCGCAGTGATAAAAGCTGGGGCATTTGCAAGAAATAGCCTAGTAAGATGACAGCCTTATGGGATATTGCGCCGTGCAGAAGTTTATCGACGTTTCAGCGATACTTAGTGTCTCCATAACCAGGCGATAAGTCTAATGTGCTTCTCACATTTTTATTCCTTCAGGCAATGGCTACATCCCCACATCCAGCTTACGAGAAATTCTAATGGCGTTAGATGATCAGCTGACACCAGACCAACTAGATGAGATGATTGGTGAAATCGACACTGACGGTTCAGGCACAGTAGATTTTGAAGGTGAGCAGATACTGCAGCACGCATCAGCATCGAATTAAAGAATTCATAACACATTTATTTAGTCTCAGACAGAATTTAAAAGTTTATTACTTAACTGTTTTTAATACCGTTTACTTATAGTCACACCTTAAACTAAGCACGCAAATACGGAAGAAAATGAATGTAATCTTACAATTCGTTCTAATTAATATCTGGATACACTAAAAAGTAATTTGATAATTCAGAAAAGTTGCTTTATATTGCAGAACATCTCGCTTACAAAAAAACAGTAAGAAAACATTAAACTATCTATGTCTGAAGGCGGTCACGGAGTTCAGAGGCTAACTTCCCTCCCCGGCAGCTTTAACGTCTGTGAAAGGAATCTCGTCGGAACTCGCTGACTACGAGTCTGGGGGCTGGACATCAGAGACGACACGGACCCGGTTTGAAAAATCCCCAAAAAAACCCACATACTAACTAACTAACATTGTCCGGAATCAAACGCCGGTCATCCACTTTGCTGACTGAGTCTGATACAAAAGAAAACGGACTGTATTTCGCCTGAACTCACTCTTACACCTCACTAGAAACTGCTTCACACCACACCACTATATTGCATTAACATTCTGGTTATCCGAATACAAGAACTTCCTCTTGGAAATCTTTCTTTGAGGGCGGAGAGTAACGGACTTATGTTTGTATGATTTGAGGTTTTCACAGCGGTGAGTATGAAGATTTCTGTCTTCTGGGTTGTTGCGCTGTGTAGTCTGGCCGATGTTAACCAACGTTTCAGAGGTCATACTGCCTCCGTCATCAGGACGATGAATGTCCTCGCCCTGATGATGGAGGCAGTATGACCTCTGAAGCGTTGGTAAACATCGACCAGACTACGCAGAGCAACAACACAGAAGACAGAAAACTTCGACTTATGTTTATATTGTAATTTTGTTACGTAGTTCCAAATGCAGCCCATTCAGCAAGCAACTCCTATTCCTACTAATAAAGATCCAATATTTACTGAGCCTGTCTATACTGTAGACAGAAATATCTTAGTCAAAACAGCCTCTTGCTCTATTCATGTATGATGCCATTGGGAAAACCATTTTTCATTTTAAGAAGGAAACTGAACGCGGCAAATCAGCGAACCGAAGAAAAATCGGAATCAAGAGCAATGGGTCGGTGCAGTTCTCACGGTTCAGTAAAAGCTATAATTCAGGTCTACGTCTGTTCCGGAAAGCGAACTAATGCATTTTTTCTGTACCCCTTTCATATAAACGTGAAATTCAATTAACGAATAAGGAATATCTGCTTCTAAAAGGCCAGCCATGGAACGTTTCTGTGAATCAGTTATTAATTTCGAATTAAAATACTGACGCTGAATATCATGTCCGAGACTTCAGTGTGTCTCTGCGGACAATTTATGATAAATCAATATCAATTATTTGGGCAAATATAGGGGAAAGGCTGCGTGTGAAATACTTTACCTTCCTTCATTTTCGGGACATGACTTCAAAAATTTTTAAGACACAATAAAGCTCCGGATACAGCATAACATTAAGGAGAGTTGAGTTTCATGTAAAGTACAATCTAAGGATTTTAAACATTCGCTGACGAAGAAATTATAGTTGGGTAAGAATCCAGTAATCTTCACGGAGCAAGGTAATTATTTCACGATTGGCTAAAATCACAGTGCTAGTTATTTAATACATGCGTATAAAGTACATAATAACTTTATTTATGTAACATACACTGTACAGAGCCGTTGTATCGTGTCTGACTATGGACTGACTACTGGGGTTCTACCTCCAGTAGCGATAAAGGATTCTTCCTCTAGTGTCTGCGTTCGAATTGGTTCTGCCCCCTTCTGAAGCCCCATAAGTCCCCTATCCGATAGGTACCAGGGGTCCCTTTCCCTGGGGCAAAGTACGGTCAGAGTGTAATGCTGGCTGCATTTAATGCTAAGATCACGAACGAGTAGGAGTTACAAGAGCCATTGTAGTGTGTACTGGCAGAGTGTTATTTTAATAACATTTTGTAGATCAAATTCTCTTCTAATCCAATAGTTGCCCATGGTAACATTAAACAAGTGGATGCAGAAAAAATGGTAGTTACCTTATACGAAAATTAGACTGTTATGGGGTGTTTCGTTGAATAAAGATTTCCGCAACAACAGATTACATTTGCTATACATGCTGATCAGTAAAATGTCTGAAACGCTAGCATTGTATGACAAGACCGAAGTTTTGCTAACAGTGAAGTCCTACTCCTGTCTTTACTACATCGCACATATTAATATCTTACGTATTCGTTGTTTATCTGCAGAATTTATGGAAATGATGACCGGAGATTAGAGACAACACGTGCGACATCTAGGAATGATGAAGAGGCTTACCATTTCCAGCTACGCAAGGCACCAAACAAGAAACACTGCAACTTATAATTGTATAGGAATTTTTGCTACATATCTGTAAACCTGAAAACGTTTGACTATAAATAAATTTCAACTGTTTTAAATGTATATCAAATTTATCGTTAACAGAAATTGCATATTAATCTTGTTAATTAGCAACTGGTATACATTTGATCAAATGATGCTAATAAGTATGGAACATTCTAGGTCGATTAGGAACGAATACAAAATAAAGGTAACGTAATGTTATATACAATATTTATGTATATCTAATGCATTTAGCTCCTCATGACTTATTACTGCAAACCCCAAGTAATTAGTCTGACTGTTGTTATTTAAAACAAAATGCATTAATAAAATCCACGGAGCATAGGCCTTCTTGGGAACCGAGTAATTTCTCATCAGGCCAAGAAATTCTCCACCCTTCATGGTTCATTTTCGTGTTCATAATTTCCCAGGAATAAACGTTGCTATGACCCACATAAATCGTGTTCATATCTTCATACCGCATTTCTAAAGATGCAGCTTAATGTTATCTTCCCATCTTCGCCTAGTGGCTTCTTTATTTTACATTGTGACTGAAATTTTGTATGCAGTTTAGAATCTATGATTCGATGCCGAATGGTGAAACTGCGAAGGTATTATTAAACGTGAGTCAAGAAAGAAACAATGCTAGGAATCTTAAAGAGCCGTGAATTATTATTAAATTATTATGTTCTAAATATTTTTTATATTGAAAGTGTATAACAGGAATGAACGTTTACTACACTGAAGGGAAAATTCAACACGCAGAACACCCGTCGTTGTAATGACGTAATGCCTCTAAAATGAATCTGTTCAGCTCTCGCAATGAGAACCAAGTAATATCCGTATACTATATGATTCCTGGATAAAATTTAAAGATGACGGTCTTGAGAGAAGTTTTGGCGTGTAGTCTGATAGATGTTTATCGACAATCATCGCCCTGAAGATAGAGGTAGAAAGTAAATATATAAAATGTCGCTTAACTTTTACCAGACTGCGCGGCATAACAGGCAAGACCACATTTCACCAAATAAGTAAACTGACGTACCCTAATTCTGGTTAGTTATGATTTTTAATTTATGATAAAACGTCTGTTTACCCCTTCCTGCAAAACACTGTGATTAGATTTTGAAAATATTCTACGTTACTTTGTAACCACTTGTGCCTTTCTGTCGTGTAAAGTCATAAAATCAGATTCATAATAAAATATTGCTTGCTGCAGCTATTTCAGGCCCTGACCACAAGGCGTCCTTGCGTTTCTACTCATATTCATGTTGCATAATTAATTACCGATTTAACCCAGGGAGCTAAAAGCATGGGTATTCCCTCCTACAAAGGACTTTAAACTTTAATGCACAGCAAGGATGTAGTTATTTAACGGGTAAACTATCTAAACTTATGCTTGAAATTAAACGAAGCAGCATAACTTATTCACATTAACTTACAACTTGTATCTCCCGTACAGGAGCGGATAACCACGCTGCTACCTCTAAACCGCTATCTTCCCATATTACAGAATGTCTCATAATGAAGTTTCTAAATTCTTCAAACCATTAGGCCTAAACCCTATACTTCAGAAACACGTACTCTCAAAATTAGTAGGCAAAATTATTGTTTTACATAATTACCCAGAATGCGAAGACGGGTTCTAGGTTTTTAACTCCGAATAGCCTTATTTGTTTGCTCACAAAAATTACTTTAATTCATAAAATTAAACTTACGAAAAGATACTTCAGAAACGAATGCCTTCTTTTAACACAAAACTCATAGTTACGTTACGATTATGCTGAGAATTACACACGACCAAATACGTTGTGCGTTTAACTAACCATGCGATTTGGAAGTTGGATCGCCTTCAAGCTTCAGCTGACTGACTTTGATATTGTCAGTTCTGGTTTTATTTTCGTTTGTTGTGTTCATGCAACGAAAAGAAAAGAAAAGAGGGTTAAAGGACACTGCATAATGAAAAACTTCGTAATTTTATAGATTTAACCTAATACGTTTATAACAACCAAATTAAGCAGGATGAGATAGGTAGAACATCTAGGATATAATGGAGAGTTGACAAATTTGTACAGAATTTTATTTGTGAAAACCTCACGGTAAGACGAGGTGTAGATGAGAGAGCAATATTAAAACTTAATTTAAAAAAAATATGTGTGTGTGGACTGGATTCATCTGGCTTGGGATTATAATTTCTTGCCTACCTGAGCATCTATTATATTAGCTTTTCAACTCTAATCTGCTACAGTTTCCTTTGTTAGCGACTAGAATCATAACTTCTAAACTCTGGATTCAATTACGAGAATATTATTGACAGATTTAATTTGTACTTTGGCTGACTATCTAATATAAAATTTCACTTTAAGCCCTGATAGATAAGAGACATAAGATAAAGGTTACTGCGATACATTTGTGTGAAACTATAATAGGCAGCTCTGTACAAACTTGTAAATGTTTGACTCACGTTCAGGAACTATAAGCCACAATATTCTAGGCTGTATCATGAGAGTTTCAGGTGCTGTAGTGACCTGGTATGACTGGTAATGGTTAGACTTAAATATGCCTTTCAGGAAAAAATCATCATAATCACGTTACTAAGTTAGTGTACGTAATGGCTCATTGCAGAATGCATGTCGACTACATTAAATATTTATAAGAAAATGCCACTAACACAACCTCTAGGGTCAGTTAGTGGTAAACAGAACTTAATAATACAAGTAGAGGGCACAAATTTAATGCAAGATGGTTTAAAATATAAAATTATAATACAAAATATTCCCCTAACGGGAATTCATCGCTACACCATAAATAAAACGCAACTTACCTTATGATATATACTACTCTATATACTATGAGATCCTACTGTTAAAACAGGCTTTCAATTCAGTCCAAGTAAACATCATTCACATTCCTTATCAGAAAATAAGAATGTAAGAACAAGAGTGCATACTCTATACAAAGTGGCACACGAGAAAGCTTCAATAGGATATCCCTGAATCTAGTATCGCTATTTAGTATGCAGAGAGAAAATTAATTATAAATTTTAGATTTATCCAAATGTATACTCAGTTGTCTTTCATGGACGTATAACATCACCTCTACACTCATATAACTAATGGAGCAAACCTCTGTTTATGAGAACCGTCTAGAAAGATGCGAGAATAAACGGACACTACAAAATTCTAGGGACAAACTCATTAGTAATTTATTTCTGTTTTCGAAGCATTGAATAAGCCGCTGTGACAATAGCACAGCCATCTTAGGATAATATAGGTGGCTAACACTCCATGTAGACAGACTAATGGAGAAAACCAACTGTTGTATTTGATGCAAATGCCATTACTTGAAATGACTCGAAGTTATTTTCGATTTCTTTGGTTATGTGATGAGCGAAGAAATGTAAAAAATCTCACGTCAAATAATTTTGGTTCCACATTGCTACTCTATTCATCAGTATTAAACCAAACTGTAGTAAATTACACAATGTTTTAACAGTACCAAGTGTGCATATTATTAAACGAAATATATTGAAATACTACGTGCAAAATATAAATTCGTAGACAAGTTTCTGTTCTAAAATATTCTATAGTCACTTGTGATATCCCATTGGTCACTTCACATGTCTCACTTCGAACAAACGGCACTGACTCTAAGAACGAGCTAACGCAATCCATTCTAATTTTCTATCATTACTTCTAGGTAAAAACAAATAAATTAATATCTCCGTACAATCGTATTTCGAGTCAAACAAACTCCGCTTATACAAAGTCAACCTACTCCATCCAGATCCTATTCAAACTATCCTCGGAGCCCCTTTGACTTCGAAATATGTTGTAGTGTTTTAAACTAGATGTCTAATACAAATTAACATAATTTTCTTGCAGCACGCAATTGGAATAGGAAGATGAATCGAAACGGAAACAAAGTGAATAAAAACTGTATAATAAAAGTTTACAAGAAAAGAAGAGAAATGTATCCTCACGGTTTACTCGTGCGTAATAAATCAGGCTTACAGACTTTCGTGTTACTTTCCTAATAAGATCCTATACCGGTGTTCCTAAGAATTCGAAACTACTCTAACTTTGTAATCATTTCTGAAGAACGGACAGAAAAATTACACACCTATCTACGTGTTCAGTAATTTTTTGTAACAGGCTGATTCAAAGGAATAACGCAGAATTCTTAGCCAGTAAGTCAAATTTAGTTCATTTCATAACAAGGAAAGACAAACATGTTTGCTTGGTAATTTGACACTACCAAGTAATAAATTATACAATAAGCTTGATAAAAACACGCCCCTTTCATTTCTTTTCGTTGTTTTGTGCTTCAAATCAAATACTCAGTAATTTCTAACGAAAAACTTTACGTAGTGCATGGATCTCAATTCTGTTCCCTTCGAGGCGTATGCAGGGACACAATTCCGATGAATTATTCATGACCAAAATTCTACCTTACGCCTCTCAAGACAAATAATACAAGACATGACGCATTTTACATATATTTTAGAACAAATTCAGACTAAAGAGAAGAAAAAATTGCCATTTATATATGTTGATGCTTTTTAAATTAATAATATTCAAGACCAGAAACCTGGCAGCTCATTGAATAAGCTACGGTATGGACGACCAGGGTTCGATTACCAAGAGAGATGAGAGATTTTTCTATGAACTACAGCGTCCAGACCGGCTATGGGACCAGCTAAGCCTTCTATCCAAGTGGTATCGGGGGTTGTTTCCCCGGGAGCAAAGCGGACATGCGTGAAGAAAATCATATCTCTGCCTAGTGGTGACATCAAGAATGAGTGAAGCTCCACTCCTCATACGTATTCATGGTCTGGTGATTAAAAACACTGCGAATATATTTAGCTGTTATAATTATAACTGGCCTTCAAATAAAACTTTCATTCCAAAAGTTATAAAATATAATAGAAGAATAAACAAATTATTTTTATTAATTAAAAAGTGTAAATTATGTGCACTTGACTTTCTGGTTTGGGTTTTATAGAATAATTCCGGTTAATTATTTAAATAACATTTATTATCAACACAGATTAGATAGGCTGAAGTTACAAGTAAAATTTTATCAAATAAAACAAAATAAAAACCATAATTCTGATATTATGAAAGGAGTGCAGATTGTTTCCAGTATGGTGCACGCTTCATTCTGTAAGTGAACACAATTAACGGTGTCAATTTCCTTTAGGAAAATCCGCATTCATCTCGACATTGT